TATATGATATCTTCCAATAAAATGGATAACCATACAAATTTATCAAAAAGTACCTGACCACTCAACCCACTATAACCCAAGGTAACCCAAGGTATAAAATGGACAACATACCAAAAAGGGCATTGGTACTTACCTGATACGCCTCTTCTCATAGTGGGGGGAGGAATATCCAGCCCCCCCCCCCCCCCTATGTTTGTATGACTAAGAGTCATGTTCATTGTTTATGAAGTTATATAAATATTGATGTTGGAAACATTAAAAGCTAAGAAATGAATTAAGAGTCTGGAGTGAATGGTGCAACGAGTCAGATAGAGTTCTTCGCCAATAACTGGGGAATACCTGGTGGCCAGGGGGCGCTACCCAAAGAGCTTATCTGACTCATCCAATCATGAGAGGACAAGGTCAACCATTCTGGATACTCCTCCCCCCACTATGAGAAGAGGCGTATCAGGTAAGTACCAATGCCCTTTTTGGTATGTTGTTCATTTTATACCTTGGGTTACCTTGGGTTATAGTGGGTTGAGTGGTCAGGTACTTTTTGATAAATTTGTATGGTTATCCATTTTATTGGAAGATATCATATAGGCAGTCTTGTTTCCTTTTTCTAGTGTTTCCTGTTGTTGCTGTATAACATACAAATTCACTTGTGTGAAATTGGATTGTTGCTTGGTAATGGAGCACTTGGTTAGTGAGAGTCATTTTTCAATAGAATTAAATTTCTAATTTGCCATTGTTTCCTTTTCTGATGAAAATATCCAAGAGTACTAGTGTGTTGATATTTCCCTCTTCCCTTGTGAAATTTATTACTTTGAAGATGTTGATTGGTGTGTCTTCTCTAGTTGTTTCTTTTTCATTATGATGAAGGTATGTTTACATATCACATCCATACTTGTGGTTATGTGTGTGGAATTGCTATAGTTTCTAGACATTGAATTATAATCTATGAGTCCTAAGTGTAGTGATTCCTTAAGTGTTCCTCTGATTTGTTAGTATATTTGTTTATCAAAATAAAAGTAGGTACTTAGACAGAAGTTTATGAGGTCCGTGATTCCAGGCATTTTGATCTTAGTGTATTTGACTAGCTTGGGTGTGTTGAGTAGTGCTGCTGCTATTAGTTCTTGATCTATGGACATATAAAAACTATGATGTTGAAACCATAATTTCAGGAGCTTCTACTTTTCGATCTTTGATTTTCTGAAGGCACAGTAAGGGAGATTTGAGACTATCACTTCCCAAAAAAAGAAATCCAAGCTTGTTTGTAAGTTCTTTGGCAGTGTAGAATGTTGGGATCCCTGGTAATAATATAATTGGACAATGAAGTATGTTAGCTTGTGTATTTTTGGATGTCCATAGAAGAGTGGCAGGATGAGTTCACTGCTTTTCATCCAACACTGTTCTTTTTTATTTGACATTTCTTGGTTAATTTATTGAGGATTCTCTTAATTGGCCTGTGCAGTGTTGGGTTCGTGTTTGCTGAAATGTAGAGTTCTTTGTCCTCCAGGATTTTTGTATGTATTGCATTCTGTCCACAATAACAATGGTTAGTCTTTGTTTTTTGGGTGGATGGTCCTTCTTTAGGTTTTTGAGGGCTTGTTTTCTCCTCTGCTTTGAATTGGCTTAGCTTAAATATTCTTCTGATCTGTGGTATGATTGGTCGATTGCTTTATGTTTTCTTCGATTTCTATGGGAATTCCTGTGATATTTAATGCTGCTGTTAAGATGGCAAAGAATTCTAACTGATAAGTAGTGTCTATGTTATGTAGTTGATACCTTTCTGGAGGCTATTGTGCTGTATAGTAGGCAGCTGGATATGTTGACTACCCATTTGGGTTCAAGTGTGTCTTTGCTCATTGGTTTAGTTTGTACAGTTTGGTTTGAAGGCTTCCCCCCCCCCCAGTTTGTCTTAGAGATACATGGGTTATCAGCATTTTTCTGTATTCTGTGGTTAGGGATTGCTCTAGTTTCTCCTTGAGATTATTTATGGTGTGCTGATGTTTGTGAGCATCTGTGATCATTAGCCACATCATTTATCAATTGTTTTGTTGAGTTATTTTCCATCCAGCTGTGCAGTTTATTAGAGGTTTATATCTGACTCTGGTGGGCAGGGCATGTTGTCATAGGCATTCATGCAAAAAAAATAGTCATTTCTTAATTGAGGTTTGCTACATGCAATTATCTCCCATTTGCATGCCTTCTGAAGCATTTGACACCCATATATGATTCCAGTGGAGGAGAATATATATAGCTTAGGTTTGAAAGGTAGTATCTTCGGTGTTCTCTGTGCTTGATAGAAGAGCGCATCCAATGAAAACAATAGAATAAAAACTCCTTGATCTCACCACACATAGATTGACTAAATCACAATTTCAATTGGAAAAACGAGCATTTTTTTGTGTGTGATGTGCATAGATATGTGTTCAAGTCAAGGCAACTGCCCAGATAAGTCCCTGCAGTTTTCTTGGTAAGATTTTTGGAAGTGGGTTATTCATTTATTTTTATTCCCCATTTATTATTTTATTATTATTTTTTAAATATTGTATCTCAACAGCGCAAACATACATAATACTCCTTCATCCTCCTATTTTCTCCACAGCAACAACCTTATGAGGTGGGTTGGACTGGGGGAGAATGAGTGCTGAAGTTAGCTTTCATGCCTAAGGAGAGACTATACTTTTTCTAGCCTGATACCTTAACCACTAGATCAAACTGGCTCCCAGTGGTTTGCCATTGACTCCTTCCTAGGGCTAAGAGAGACCCCAAGAACCACCTAGCTCAATGATGGCAAACCTTTTTTGGCTCGCGTGCCATAAGTGGGGGGAGCGCAGGGGGGGTCATGCGCAGGAAGCCTCCAGAAAGCCTCTGGGGTGGAGGGAGGCTCTTTTTGCCCTCCCCAGGCTCCTATAAAGCCTCTGCCGCCTGTGGCACGCATGCTATAGGTTCGTCATCCCGGACCTAGCCGCATTATGTCTAATGCGGATCTCCTGTTTATAGCTGCTGACTATAAATTGGCTTGTGAGCAAGCTGGCCTGTGAGCTTCTAAGACCAATGTAAATCCAAAAACACTATGGAATTCTTGGAAGCTTAGCATTCAGGAAAATCAGCCATAGGTAGACACCATATAAACCATTTTTATATACCGTTCAAACAAGACAATAGAAAAGCTAAGAAAGAAACAAAAAGATCATAACACATTTCTTCCAACAGCTAACACTAAACTGGAATTTCCACCAGAGAAACAATCAAGCAGAAAACAATACCCTAATCAAAGAATTACCAAGGACAAAACCACACCCTCACCAAAACTGGCAGGCTACCGATTATTAATACGGGAGCAAACCACATACACATTCATATTGTTGATGTTACCCAGCATAATGAAATATCCGCAAGCAAACCATTAAGAGAGTGCCAAGGACTTCACATTAGTAGTAGCATTTGTAGAAGCCTCTAAAATTCAAGGCTATTTCTTGGGATTTTAGAGAAGTTGGGAAGATACAGGCATTATGCATGTTGTGTTGGTTATAATAACTCTTTCTTGATTATATAAGTGAATATATAAAGCCCAATAAATTACCTAATTCTTTCAATGAGTTTCAACTTCCACTTTTTTTTAAAATTTTTGTAGCTGGCTCTATATGTGCTTTCTTTCCTGGATCCCAAGGACTTGCTGCAGGCAGCACAAACATGTCGATACTGGAGAATTCTGGCAGAAGACAATCTTCTATGGAGAGAAAAGTGCAGAGAAGAAGGTATGGTTAAATTTTTTATCTTCTTAGACTCATTGAAAAAATGCCTTTGGTTATGGAAAGATCATTATTTTGAATAGTTATATTTCACCAGCAAGATCCAAATATATGTTAGCTTGCTACGTTAAATCTAACATAGCAATAAATACAAATTCTGGTATTTGAGGCTGGAATTCCATAATTCACCTGAGAGCTGCTGAACCTTTTGTTTGTAGATTCAAAGAACTGAAAGATCATATATAAAGCTTGAAAATGAGTAACAGCAGCTCTGCTATTATACAGAAAATAGTAAATATTTAATTCAAAAAGTTTAAATGAGATATTTGAGATAGCAGAAGTAAATAAATAGGAGTTGTAGTGTAAGGCTTTAAGATAAATTGGATGCATGATGGAATAGTTTTGAGTTGCATGACAAACAGGTGAGACATCACTAAGTATATTACAATTGGCAATAGTTTATCATTTTGGAAAGGAAGGTTAATGAAACATGCAACTAACATCATTTTGGGTTTGTTTAAAATATATAGGAATTGATGAACCGTTACATATCAAGAGGAGAAAAGTAATAAAGCCAGGATTTATTCATAGCCCATGGAAAAGTGCTTACATCAGACAGCATAGAATTGATACTAACTGGCGGCGAGGTGAACTTAAATCTCCTAAGGTAACCAACCATCTTTGAATAGACTATTATGAACATAGTAAAATCACATCTTAGTATTGATCTGTTCTGATTATTTTTAATATTTAAGAATCTAACTTTGTTCAAATAATTTGCAAAAGTTCAGCTTCAATATTTTGTATTATCTTTTTCTCTCACATGTTATAAGTACTGCAGCTCAAAACAATGTTATCAATTCTTGTTATGCTGGCAGTTATATCCATTTTAATGCATACATGCAATTTAGCATATCCTATACAAAAAAGTATAAATGCTTCCATTTATATGTTAATTTTCCACAGTCAACAAAAATTGAATTTAAAAGTGAGCTGTGTTCAGTTTTCAATGCTATTTATTGAGAAATTCAAGTTAGAATTATAGTAGGTAAAACTGCTCAGAACACATCCATTTTCTGAATAATGGAAGCTACTCTATATCTTACTGGTCTCTGTGTGGCTTTTCTTCTTTTCAGAGGCTCCGTAGCAGGAATAATAGCCTACATTAAGAGGATTTCTGCAATTGTCAGAGTCTTACCAAATTTGGGACACACATACACAAACAAATATTTCTAAAAATAAGACAAATTTTAGAATGCAAAATATAACAAATCATCAGTTCCAATGGTGTTATCCTTTTGTGAACTTTGCAAACAGTTAAAGGTGCTCCTTCAATATGCCAAGGATCAAGCTATAGCTGTAATTCAGTGTGTATTAACAAGTGTGGATATTACTGTAAATATATGCCACTTAACCAATAGTGTTATGGTTAATCATAGCTTAGAGAACTTGAATTTTGGTCATGATAACTCACAGATTAAGTACTAAAGAATTCAAATTAGGAGAATATTTAACAATGATAAATTGAAAAGCAAAATCTCCAGTTGTTTTCAAACCACAACAGATTGCTACAAGAATCTCCTAGGAAGATGTATATGTCCTACCTTAATATGTCATAAAGATGAAATGAACTTTTTCACAGTAAATTTAATACTGCCAGATTGTACTAATAGAATAATCATACTGCCAAATCTTCTGCTGTTTAAATAATTGCTACAGATGTTAATTTTGTGGCCTTTTCAGTTAAATTTATTTGTTTCTAAGACCAAGATTAGTCCATAATTGTAGTGCATAATGAAAACTATGTTGCTGTATCTTAGTGAAGAGCAATTCAGTTAGGCATTATTTTATTTCAATATTTATTTTTACAAGTCATAATATAATAGATTTGTATTCAAAATATTTGATTAAGATACAGAAATTTTTGAGGAATGTTACTGGGGCTTATTAGAAAGGAAAAATAGCGTTATTTTAATATATGTTAAATCACAGCAGTATCTGCAGGCATATAAATTCAGCCCTGTACAAATTAATCAACTTTAGATCTATTATGTCTATGGAGATTCTCAGTCATCCAGGTCATAGTTGTCCCAAAGATGCTTTTTCAAGAGGCAACTGGATTTCTTGATTTTCTTTGAAGATGTTTCTCTTTTCATCCAAGAAGCTTCTTAAGCCGTAGGAGCTTTTAGGATGAGAAGTGAAATGTCTTTCAAAACACACACACACACACACACACACACACACACACACACACGGAAGTCCAGTTGCTTCTTGAAAAAGTATCTTTGGGATATTTAGATGTATTAGTTGCTCTAGGTCTAGGAGAAGAACTGGACTTATCATGGAAATTTACATAGAGCTTGTGAATGCCTT